TTGAACTTTTAAAAAAACACACAAATAAGTTAGACTTGATGAATTACATTAAGAAAGAACTCCTAGCAGAGTCACTTAAATGATATCCTTTCATGCTTACGGTTAGTATAGATTTCATCTAAAGATTCCATTTAGTTCAACACATAGAAAACCTGTGTATTTTTAGTCAGGATTCTTTTAGGTGTAAGTTATGGAAATCCAACTCTAAAGTAGCTTAAACAAAAAAGAGAATTTACTGGCTCATGTAACTGATACTAGCTTCAGGTATAACTGAATCCTGCAGTTCCAATAAGGCTGTTGCAACTTGGCATTTGCCAAAGTTTATTCCAAAGGACTGGCTTCCTCTGGGATGGAAGAAGGAAAAATGGGAGATAGTCATGAGTAGTTTCAATTTACATCATTTCTATGGTTTATGATCCAAGAGGAAGAGAGGCATCCCTCTCCCAGCATTCAAAAAGCAAATCTTGGGGAAAGCCCAATTGATTCTCTTGAGTCATTGTACCCATCTCTCTTGGGGGACAGAAGAGGGAAGCACCCTGATTACCAGTCCCCCAGGACCACATCAAGTGAGGGAGGGGGTGGTCCTCAAAGGAAGAAAGAGATGGTTGGGGGGAGGTATCCAACACACCGAGGCTAGACCATTATTGAAGCCAGGTCTAGAACTAGAAACCAGTTCCTAGTGTAGTTTTAGAGGCTACAGAGAGGAAGAGAAATATTAAGATTAGAGAAAAAATAGTTTGAACCTCTTTTAAAGGAATATAAATTAGAAATGAAGATAAAGCTCTGAAATGTTAAGTCAAATAACCATTTTTGTCACTTTCAGAAGTCTGTGGATATTGTGAAATGCAAATCCCTGCTATTGCTAATGAATGCTCCCACACACATTCTATAATTTAGTGGAAGTGGATTGAAAGGCATGCCTCTGGTCCTTGTTTTCTTCCTGTCACAGGGGGTATGCCAGAATAAAATTTTTTGGGGAAAAACAGACTGAAAACTTCCTAAAGAAAAGTTTCTAGATGGACAAAAATGTATTAAAAATAAGAAGGGCCCGGGCCCGGCCCTGGCTCTTGGCACCCGTGGCCAAGTAGGGGTCCGCAAAAAAAAAAAAAAAAAAAAAAAAAAAAAAAGAAGAAGAAAATAGATGATTGTAGTAATAACTGGCATTTATTGAGCAGTTAATATATGCTAGGCACTGTAGTAAATGTATAACCCCATTTAAATTTGATGACTATCCTACAAGCTAGGAATTGTTAGTCTGCTTATTTACAGGTGAGGAAACCAAGGTTTGGAGGGGTGAATAATTTGCCCCTGCTCTTGTCAGAGCTAGATAATGTCTGATTTCAGAGTCTATGTTCTTATCACTATGCTTATTATTTGGTATAGATTTAAGCTCATTTAATCATGCAATGTGACTATTTTATAGGCAAAATTATTGCTTGTCATACATTATTTTGTATTTTGTCCTGTGTGAAATAAAGTGCGTTTGAAGCTGGCTTTCTCTTCATCTTTTTCTAACTCTCCTTCCCCATCTGCAATATAAGACCTCTCTCCCTGCCTTACTCCATCAATGACATAGGGCCCCTCTCTCACTAGCGACAGTGCAAAGGTCCTCTGATAGTCATTTCCAGATTGCAGCTGCAAGTAGGACCTGGAGCACCTAACCATTTTAAATCTCAAGCAATAATTATGCACATTAATCACATGGAATGCTATGGATAAGTTACAATCTTGGAAGCACATCTGAAAATGTAAATTGTGACCCAAGAAAATGTCACTGCTGAGGGTGTTTCCTGGTAGATAAATGTAGGTCAAAGAAACACGACACCAAAGATCCCTAATCTACACTAGCCCTGTGTTTACTCCTTTCATTGTTTTCCTAAGAGAGCAGCTATTGCCTTAGGCCTTCTCGGTGTTCTTTCCTCTTAGTCTTCAACCAGCTTCATGTACCCCCACTTCACACACACCAAATTAGATAGTTTACCTCTGGTGATATTTTATCAGCATAGGTTTTTTCTTCTTTTATTTATTGGTTGACATTTGGTTTAAAGATGCTTCTGCTAATCTTAGTCCTTTAGTTCACCAGGTACCTACCCTTTGATAGTCTCTGTCCTCTAGACTCATCACATGGTCAGCCTGCCAGTAGACTGATATTCAGGAAGTGAATGCTTTCATCTGATAGCAGTGAAGTGCATTTTGTCACTAGATAATAGCCTCCTCGATGGCATGTTTTTCTTTACAGGTGTAATCATAGTGTACTCCATCCTTGATCTCCTGGACTCAAGCAATCCTCCTGCCTCAGCCTCCCTAGTTGTTGGGACTACAGGCACCTGCCACTGCTCCTTGCTTCCAAACATTTTTGATTATACATTTCCATCAGTATACTTTTTGGAGACATATTCTTCCAAATATATGTATATTTGTCCATAAAGTGTATATATATATATATATACACACACACACACATATATATACTACCATCATTAGCTTATAACTCAATCACAATGGACACCTAGGGTGAAATTCGTTGTTAATGATAGTGGATGTTAAGTCTACAAACAGTTTTCTTGATGATTTTGTTATTTCTTTGTCGAAATTTGGTTGCACTCATTAGATTGTCATTTTAGCTTTGAAAAGTGACTATCAAGCCAGGCGTGGTGGGTTGAGCCTGCAATCCCAGTAACTCAGGAGGCTGAGGCAGGAGGATCACTGGAGCATGGGAGTTGGAGACTCCAGATGCAACATACTGAGACTGTCTCTTTAAAAAAAAGAAAAAGAAAAAAAAGTGGCTGTCAAAGATTTGTGGTTTTTTTGCAAAGGACTCTTGTAAGGTCATTTGTCTGTTTTTGGGGGGTTTAATTAAATTGAGATAATATGATCAGTAAATCCACTTAGCTCAACCTAGCAAACTGCTATTAAGTCACATGTTGGCAAGGGCTGATTAGGTGGGACCACCACTGCCAACCCCTGGGAATGGGTAACTCCCACTTTTCCCTGAGGTCATCTGCTATGCTACTCTAGGCCAAGGGACCATCCCATATATTCATTCTGTATATAAAATATTAGTTGACCTTAATGTCTTTCTTTTTTAGATCAGAATTAAGCATAAGTAAATGTCATCATATTTTCTCTCTTGCATCCAAATTAATTAACTTGCACTATACTTGGAGTATACAAACTTGGGATGCATGAGATCTCCTTTAGAATTTTTTTTTTCTCCTAGAGAGAGGGTCTCGAACTGCTAAACTCAAGCAGTCCTCCCACCTCAGCCTCCCAGAGTGCTAGGATTACAGGCATGAGCCACCACACTCTGCCTCTCCTTTAGAAATTATGGTCCAGAGAACAATTCTCATATGGGCAAGGATGTATTCATTTAAAAAGACCTGCTCATTTCAGTTGCTCAGCCATTTTATAAAAAGAGAAATGACTTTGAAGTGAATTGTCTTTATAGAGATCCATAATTTGCAAGGATAATCCCCACTCTATGAAATGTTCTAAGCAACAGCTGTGAGCATTTCAAACGTGCACTATTCTTTTAACAGTTCAACTGTTGCCAAGGGAAATTGAGTTGGCTTCAAAATCTTTCTTGGTTTTAATTCTGCATTTACCCTCAAAGAATGAGGAAACAGGTTCTGCTTGGCTGGGATACTCAATTTTCATAAAGACTGTACAGGAAATTGAGATATGAAAATGTAAGCTTCTTGAAGGTAGGAACCAGACTGGTATTCTATAGTTGTATAAGGCCTAGTATTAATAGTAACGAATCTTATCAGAGCAAAAATGGGCACTAGCCATATAGTGGCCAATCATCTGGAGTCAGTAGGGGGAGCCTGCTTCCATCTAAGAGTCATTTTTCTCTGTTTTCCACTTCAGTTCAAAGCAGGAATATTTTTCTTTTATGGCACAAAATTATTTTTCCACTCAAGAGCCATTTCTGGGAGTGTGCATAGAAATTTGCAACACTTAAGTGTTTAACAACACAAACGAGAAATGCAAATGCATTTTTGCTTGTCACTTGCACATATGGCACATATAGTTTTATTAACATATAGCTTTATTCCCTAACTACCATAGAAAGCATGATATGCGGAGGGGAAAAACAGAACGACACACACATTATTAATATAAAAAGAAAAAAAATACTTGAAGGGAGTACACTAAAAGGCTAACAGTGATTATCTCTGAGTTGAGGGAATGTGAATAATGTTAACTCCCCCATCTCCGTTTTCTAAGTTTTGAACAATTGGTAGTCTGACGTTTGTAGTCAGCATCAATAATCCCCCCCCCTCAAGAAATGTATGTAGCATGCATGCATATAGATCGACAATCCAAGAATATTTTCTGGAAATGCACCATTTGGCCTAGGGCTCACCAAGGATGCAAACACACCTCCAAACATTTTATCACTTGTTCTAGATAGAGTTAAGTAAAGCCTTCTCCATAAACTCTTTCGGATCCAATTTGCCAATCAAAATCTCGAAACTCCTACAGTTTGGAGCTGGGTCTTTCCCAGCTCTAAGCAGCGGGCTGGCTGATGTGGTTATTCTGAAGGAAGAGATCGCGTTCCCACCTGCACAACCTACATAAGCGCAGGCCTCAAGCGAGGCTTACAGGCTCCAAGGAGCTAATATTCAAAACAGACGTTTAGGGAAAAGACGAGGTGAGAGAGAATTCGAAGTGTTACCCGACCCTTGGCCAGGACCCAGGGCTTTAGACCTCGGCTCCAGGCCTCCCACAGGTTCAGCGGAGAGTGACTGCTGGGGATTTCAAGGGACCCATTTACACAGGCAGTGGTGCACACGCGCGGGCAGGCGATCTTATTTCTGCGCAGCGCGGGGTCCCATCCTGACTGGGACTCCCCAAGCCCAGAGGGACCACACTAGCCGCTGAAGGGGACAGGACCAAGGCCCAGGAGGCTTCCCGCCCGTCGCTGACCCTTGCCCTCAGAATCCTTCGGTTGAAGACAACAGCCGCCCCAAGGCTCCGCATTGCGCGAAACCTACCCCGCGGATCTGCTAGTCGCACACCTCCCGGGATCAGGAGCTCCTTTCAGGCCTAGCGGATACTATTGCCTCTCCACTTCAGCCTACCCAACCGCCTGGCGGAAGCGGCGGCGGCGCTGCTGGGGAATGCTGGCTGCATCCGGGTGCTTCACGACTCGGTCCAATCCTCGGCCTCCTCTCTTCCCACCCTCCTGTTTCTCCGCCCTCCCACCGCCAATCCCTGATCGGCTCTCAGCCGAACATGCTGGCGGGGGAGTGAAGGCGGACGCCGGCCAATGAGGCCTTGCTTCCCGTTTGAAGTCTCCAGTGGGCGGGCGCCAGAGGCGGGCGCTGCTGGCCAGAAGGTTCGGTTGCGCGTGTGCCATGGACTCAGGCGCCCGGTGATATTGACAATAGGAGAGAGAAAGGGGCATTGACTGGGAACCTCCACGGGTAGCGAACGGCGGCTCTGGCAGCGGCGGCTCCAGCTCCAGCGGCTCCTCCTCCTTCTCGTGCCTCCTCCTCCTGCTGCCGCTGCAGATCCAGTCTTCCTCCCTCCCTTCCCCCCCTCCCCACGTCGTCGCCGCCGCCGCCGCCGCCGCCGGGTCCGGAGCAACGAGCAGAGGCGCCGCCCGCCAGGAATGTGAGCGAGGAGCCACCGGCGGAGCCGCAACGGGGTCGGTGCCGATTTGATGGGACGGGCCCGCGGGGGAGGATCGTGAGGCCGCCGCCGCCGCCGGAGCGCTGAGGTTCGGGTCCGGCCGTGAGGCCTAAAGGCGCCGCCGCCGCGGAACCGGAGGGACGCCGCACCGGACAGCCGTCGCCCCGGGCTCCCCGCAGCCGCCCGGACCTCCCCCTGCACGTCCTGGTCCCGCCGCCCGCCCCCGCTGCGGCCCCCTCGCCCGTCTCCCGCCCCTCGAAACCACAGATCATCTTCGGATTCTTCCCCAGAAGCTTCAAGGTAACTTCGTCCCTCCAGCACCGCGGCTCGTCCGCTTCCCTTTTTCCTCCCGGTCCTCCCGTGTGGAGCTTACGGGGCACCGGCCTTGGGAAGGCCTGGCCCGGACAGGCGAGGGGTGCGGTGGGGTGGGGTGCGGGAGAGAGAGCGCCCGTCCCACTTGTCTGATCTACCTGCATGTGTTTCTGATGATACCTCTCGTTCACTCTGCCCCCTCCCTCCTTTTTCTCCACCTTCTGGGATTGGAGGCGTTTTCTTGTCCCCCTTTATCCACTGGCGGGGGCGGAGGATAATGGGGGGTTTGGTGTAGTGAGGAGGATTCTGTAGCAGCTTATCTTCTCCAGGGCTTGAGGTGTGGGGTGGGAGCTAAGGGAGTCTGTAAGCATCCCTGCAGACAAACCCCCTTCCCTGTCTTTCTTCCCCTCTCTCCCCTTGTCCCCTTTGGATTATTTTGAGCCTTGGAAATGCCCGGTGTCCGCTGTGTAGAGGAGGATAAATCTTAGGGCTCCCTGGCCCAGGGTGAAACCTGTTTCCCCTGGCTTTGCATGGACCCGTTCCTATCGGTCGTTCAGTTTGCAGTGCTTTGGGGTTGAGATCCTTGACGTTTGCTCTGGGCCGCGGGCATAAGGGGCAAATGATTAAAAAAAAAAATGCTACCTGTGTATCATCTGTAGAAATGGGAGATGAGGAATAAAGAAGAGACAAAAAGAGTGGTGGAAGAATAGGATTTACTGATATCTTGTGGTGTTAGGGATAGAATGAAGTCTGAACAATTCACATACCAGATTGGAAAATCGGCCCCTAAATTTACAACATACAAATGTCATGTGGAGCTTCTTGCTGATGCAGTCATTTTGATATTTTAAAGTGATCCTACATCTTTTATAGTCATTCATAGTTCGCAATTCCATCTTGAATCCTATTTACATATTTAAGGCTAAATTAGGGAGTTTTCTTTGAAACTTTTTTGTTTTTTTTTTTGAAAGAGAACCAAAGAAGACTTCAAAATTCCAAACCTCAACATTGTGGATTTTTTTAAAAGTGTTTTTGTTATTTTTACTTCATCAGAATCCAGGTATTCCAGGTGACTTTTTATTCTTACACATCCAGGAAGAAATTTCTTTACTTTTTAATTTAGAAGTTAAAAAACACTTGTCTTATGTATTGGAATGACAGGTGAGTGATTGCATTTCAGCATTTCTCCCATGTGCATTATTTCTATCTAAGTCTGCCATTAATCTTATGTGGAGCCTCAGTGCCATGGAAATGATGGCATCTGTTTAAATTGGTGAATGAAATTGAGCTTAACACTCGTTACTTTTTTGTTACTTTTAGGAAATAGCCTTCATTTTAATAATTTGAGAAGGTTAAACGTTGCAAAAGCACTGTTGGGTTCCATCAGTTTGATGGAATGAAATTGGTATTTGATGATGAACTTCAAGGTCTAAACCTCAAGGGATCTCAACTTGCCTAAGTAGTCTGTGTGTGAGTTTTATGTTTTCAGTTCAGCTTTGGTGCTTGATTTCATCATGGCTTTTTTTTTAAATCAATCTTTAATAACTTAAGGTCGCTTCATTCAAAAAGAAGGCTTATTTGAAATGATCTTAATTATGCCTTCTATGTGTTTGGTTTAACATAATTTAGCCTGTCCTTATTTGCAGTGTGGTATAGTTTATCATAGCTAACACAGCACATCACTTTAAAAGTCATGCCTAAATAGTTTCAGTAGTTGTAAATTTCACCTTGCTGTAATACACTGGTGTATATTCTTGAAGTACAATAAGGATTTCAACTTTAGAATGTAGTCATAATATTAAATATCTTGGGAAAATGTATGAATGGAAGTTTTCCAGCTGCAGAATAGCGGCAAAATTACTTCAAGAATTGCAAGATGAGAGGAGATTTGCAGTTAGAAAACAGGCAGACAGCATAGAGTTCTTCAAGATTAGATCAGCATCTTTAATGCTTATAATGGAGTATAACACATTACAGTTAGGATATTGCTTACATGATAGTTATATTACTTTTTTCACCAGATTTTCGTGTTTTCCTATTGATACAGACTTTTCTTAATTGATTTTATTTAGTTTGGCACATATTGCCATTTTCATGAATATTATATACGTGAATTTTAGAATTTGTGTAACTCACATGTATGTTTCCACTTTGGGAATGTGTTTATGGTACCTCTTTCTCTTCAGTAGGGATATGTCCTCAGCACCAACTACTCCTCCATCAGTGGATAAAGTAGACGGATTTTCTCGGAAGTCCGTCAGAAAAGCCAGACAGAAGAGGTCGCAAAGTTCCTCACAGTTTAGGTCTCAAGGCAAGCCTATAGAGTTAACACCTCTGCCACTGCTAAAAGGTAAGGCTCATGACCAGGTGATGCATTCTTTTTCAAGTGATCTTTCTATAGCTGTATATAATTTTCTTTTTGTAGAGTTTCATATCTATTAAAAATCTGTGTTGCAAATTGAAGGCATGGGAGGCTTTTAGAGACATTGAAGTCACTGATGTGTGACCAGATATACCCCCTCTCCTTTTTAAAGGGCTCATTTTAATCAAAATAGCTGTGGACAAATGAAAAGAAACTTATTATCAGGAGAATCTCTCACATTGATAAGCCGAAAATGCTAGAGAAACTTTAAGATGTCTGGGTCTGTGTTTTTATTTTTTTCTTCTGTTGACATTTAGGTGTATATATTGTATGCAGTGACAACTACAGTTTATACTGTCTTACTCAGAAAGTAGATCCTAGTAGAGGAGATGGTACCATTCATTTACATACAGAAAATTGTGTTCGGAGGAATTCATTTTTAAAAATAAAAAAAAATTGACATTTTATAATTAAGTGCATTTTTTGTTTTCAGATAGTACAAATAGAAAAGGTATATGGTTATCATACTTGTTTAATATTTCTTTTCTTTTTTTCTTTGGAATGCATTAAGAACAAGTTGTTGACGTGAGGACTGTTTTTTGTCTAAATTAGATATTTCAATTTTTGTTTGGGTATATGCATACTTTTTGTCCCTTTAAATTTCCATCTTTTTGCTTCATGTTTATGAACAGGTGTTGTTTGAAAAATATCAAAACATAGCTTTTGTAGTGTGGAAACTATCACAATGTAACTTTGAAGGTGTATTTTTGTCTATTGAATACTTAAGAATGGGGAGAATGGAGACATGAACAACACAGTGAACTTTAATAGCTTGGAGGAAACCAGGCAACCTGGTTTGCTAGTTTGTTAATGTACATTTATTTCTGTAACAGTTTGTGAAACCAGAGATTTTTTGATGTGACTGGAAAAGCTTCTCAAAATTTAGCTTGGTATATTTCAAGTGTCTATATTTTCCATGTGCACACTTTTTTTTTAAAGGGAGGGATTCCAATGTTTATGCTTGAAATTGGTCAAAACTAAATGAGTGCTGATTACTATAAAGATCTACTAGTTAGTAAAGACAAACTCTCATGAGCTTTAAGGGGAGAATATTGTGGCTAAAGATTTTGCTGATAAAAATGAAAATAGTCATTATGAGACTTTGGAAGAAAAATGAAGGAAAAACTTTAGGGGTAACATGCTTGAAATACAAGTTTGGGAGATAGATTCTTTAGTAATTTATTTAATCTGAATTAGATATGTAATAGCTATTAGATCTATATCTGGTGAAGGACTTAATTCTGAGGAAGCAGATTAAATTTAGGATTAGAAGGAATTTAAAAACATTATTGTTACATTAATTTCTTGGGGCTCATGCTAAAACACTTAAATTAGAAATTAACTGATTACTCATAGCCAGGGTATTGTTTTTTTTTTTGTTTTTTTTTTGAGACAGAGTGAGACTCTGTTGCCTGGGCTAGCGTGCTGTGGCATCAGCCTAGCTCACAGCAACCTCACACTCCTGGGCTCAAGCGATCCTCCTGCCTCAGCCTCCTGAGTAGCTGGCACTGCAGGCACACGCCACCATGCCCGGCTAATTTTATATATATATATATATATATATTTTTTTTTTTTTTAGTCGTCCAGCTAATTTCTTTCTATTTTTTTTTTTTTAGTAGAGATGGGGCTGATCTCGAACTCCTGAGCTCAAATGATCTGCCCGCCTCAGCCTCCCAGAGTGCTAGGATTATAGGCGTGAGCCACTGCGCCTGGCCCCGGGTATTGGTTTTATGGGTAGTGAAAGAGGCATGTGTGGGAAGATTTGGCACGTTTTAATATTTTGTTGTCCTTTTTCTTATTTTTTTATAGTGATAAAATATATGTAACATAAAAGTTACCATTTTGACCATTT